ATTGTTCTCTGAATTCTGTGTGATGTACCATAATATTCGACGAATAATAATGAATGACATAAACAGTGATATATATATATATATGTATATTTACTGTTTACATTTCATTTATCCATATAATTTTCTTTTCTTTCGTTATTTTATGTTAATTTTATAATACACTTGCTTTAGTTAATATTTCAAACGTATTTCATGTTTTCTTTATACGCATGTTTTTAAAGGACTTGTTCTAGAACGTTAATAAAACATTTCTATTTATCCTATTCTCGGCGTAAGACCAATGAGAAGAGAGAGAGAGAGAGAGAGAGAGAGAGAGAGAGAGAGAGAAGCCAAGTAAGTCTCATGGGATTTTCAGGTAATAGAGTTACGCAGAAATCCACAAGGGGCAATAAATAAGCGGACCAGGGCGACTCTGAGGCCGATGCTGAAAATACGAAGGGACTCGACAGTCAGCGAACTCGATGAGCGTTTGAAGGAAGCGAAATTGACGAATAAAAAATTCCGAAAGCAATTGTTACAAAAGGATTCCGAGCTTCAGGTAAGCTTTTCCATTCATCAAACTTCCAAACGGCATTACAGCGAGTATTACTTCGTCGGAGTTATGAACTTGTTATACAAGGAACATTAGTCTGTTATCATAGAATCATCTTGTTCCTTCAGATTCTACGACGAATTTAGAATCTGTTTTAATGGTTAACATTAAAATTAAGCTCTCTATCGAAAGAATTAAGTTCAAGATAAAAATAAAGAAAAATAGAAAATGTATCATATATTTTAAATTATAATTGTTTATGTTATTCTACGTTTATCCCTGTCTAACAATCAATTTCACTATAAAATATCTCCTTGATAAAATATATACTGTTTAATAAAACATCCATGTACTGGACTAATTTGAAGAAGATCGATAGCGAATTTCGATTAACGGAAAAGCGAACGCACCATCCATCTTAATTCGGTTATATATGAGTAATCACGACGTCATTGCTGCTTCGTGCAGTATTCTCTGCGAATAATAATCTAAAATTATTTTGATGGGCTCTTAGTACGCTCGCATGTTTAAGCAATATTGTTTAATCTATAAATGTTGCATTCATATCGAGCGTGTACATGGCGGCCATAGAAAATTATTTTATTATCTCGTATTTTACTTCAGGGATTTTTAAGGAGAATGGGCGAGGAAGTTGAGAGCGAAACGCAAGAGACGGTCGATACATTGCCGGTCCCGAAACCAGAAGAAGCTAAGAAGGAAGGTAAAGGTCCGTTTTATTCAAAAGAAGTTGTTATATTTATTAAATAAAATTAAAAACGCAAAATTGCACAGTATTCCGAAGTAGTCATTATTAATTGAAATATATTTTAGCTTTAATTACATTTTTCTCACATAAAAAACAATTTTTTGAAAATCTTTTTTTTTTAATATTTTAAACTACAAGTTTTATTTAAAACAAAAATTATAATGCACTTAAAAATAAGATAAATATATACCTATTAATGCGCGATATTTATAATTTTTGTTTACTTATTGGACAGGACCGTCGATAACCACAGAGACGACTGATGTTTCAATGTCAATGTGTAGCTTGAACTCGTCAACCGTTTCGCAGCCAGAGGGTGATTACGTCAACGTGGATCAAGTAGCAAAGTATGTCGTAACGTTTGACATCAAATTCCTTTAGATCTAAATCCTTTAACGAAACGTAGTTAAATTCGCTATTGCATATAGACGAATTATTTACTTCGATTGATGATTGATTATTGACATTAAATGGTAATTTCGCGACATATAAAGGAAATTTAATAAAAATATAGTTCAGAAATGTGTTTTGTAATCGCAATAAACACTATGTCATTAAAATCACTTGTAATTTTATCTTGTTCTTTTTATATTTTTTCAAAATTTAAGCAAGAAAGAGTGAAATTTTTAACTATTTCGGTAATCCATTTACCCTGCTGACCACCTCCCGGAAGTCTCCGGTGCACCCGATTTGCCGTCCAGCCTCAGGGTAGTCGCGTGGTGCTTGTTTTAGGAAAAGGGCGTCCCTTTCGAAGGCCACGTCAATCATCATCGACAACGAAAGAGTGGCTATGACGAGCCAGGCGATCGAGGAGAGTTCTTCTCCAGGCGCTGAGGCGGCGTTGGACATGACGCCGCCGTCGCTATCGTTAATAACAACGACGACAACGGCGATAACAACGACGACGATGACGCATGTGAGGCATACGTGTGGCGCGGACGCATTGCGGCGCAAGAGCATCCCCGATGAGGTGGGCAAGGACAGCGAACCATTATTGAAGCGCCATAGGACCCCGGAACCTCTGCCGACCGACGCTGTGACCACGCGATACAGTTTCGTGCCACCGGTCGTCGAAGAGAGCGACTCCGTGATCCTGGAAGAAACTGAGATCGCGAGACACGTGTGCCGCGTGAGGAGGAGGAGCAAGGACGAACGCAGGGCGAAGCTCTCGACGCCGCCGCCGACCAAGAACGTCTCCTTCGGCGAGCTCCACGAACAGAGTTACATCGAGCACGTGATGCCATTTTCATTGCAATACGTGCCGAATCATCGGCATGCCGGTAAGAATCGATCCTCCGAATACTTCTCCGCGATTAGCATAGAAATCATTCAATAAGAATCTGAACATGAGCCCTAATTTTGTACGCAGATAATAGTTTTAACAAAAGCGAGAAGGACACATATTTACTATTTCTTCCTCTTTCTTATTCTGTTCTATCTTTTTCTTATTTATTTCTCTCTCGTTCTTTCTCAGGAATTGTTAAAACATGACGAACTAATCAGAAGTGCCTTTCTCAAATCCAGATTCTTATTAAAGGATTCTTAGCATGGTACACGTATATAAATAAAATTTATACAAAAAAATAATTTTTATTCTTTCAGTCGTTGCACACACAATCGTGAAATGTTTTTCAAAAATATAAATTTCTCAAACGTTGCGAAAATACATATAAGAGCTTCAAAAAGAATTCAGATTTTACAAGCTAGACTGTATTTACTAAACTGAATAAAAAAAAGTTTGGTAAATATTCAGATCAGTTGAAATATCTTCAAGCTGAAAGCAATTTTTGTTAAAGTAATTGATTTGCTTACTTCTATTTACGAAACATGGAGAAAAAAGAATGAATTATTTTACGAATTGATTTTTTGATTTGCATATTTATTGAGCCTTTTTAACTTGAATTTTTTAACTTTATGAGTACGTACACTATATAAAATTTTATGAGTCTGTTTATTCTACAAGTCCAACAAACCAACATATCAGACTAACTATTGTTATTTGAACAGCACGTCTGTGTTCCAACTTTATGATTGAGGTCGCTCGGCATCCGTATCCGAGATTTGATTTGTTTGGCTAGATTTCTCTTAGATATCTGTAGAACTTGAGACATTGTGCGCGGACGTGGAGCGATACGGCGAGTGTTCTGTTAACAGGGAAGTACGACGAGTCGATGTCGACGATCATCCAGCGTTCGATGTCGGAACGCACGCGGGAGAAGTGCCTGCGGCTGCACATCGGTAGCGGCCACCCCATAGTCGAGTGTTCGCATCGCGTCGCACGCCGGATGTGCCGGCACACGGGCTCGAAGCTGCGCCATCAGGCACGGCTCGAGTACGTGCAGAGCACCCCGAATGTGGCGACGATGCACAACGGCAAGCACGTCGCGGCGAATCCGCGCGATGGAAGCGGTGACGTGAACGGTACCGTCTCTCAGTTTCCTTCATTAAGCGCATGTATACACTTATACAGCATCGGAAATTTGCGGAATACTAAACGTTCAAAGACGCACATTTATTCTGAATGCACGGAAAGAAGCAAGACACTGACAATTAGAAATCCTAATGACAAATCCTTTGACAAATCTATATCTATATATAGTTTCTATATATAGTTTTTCTATAACAATTAATCCTTAAACACGATTGAGTTTTTCATATTTTGCACATTTCTTTTTTTTCAAAAAATTAGGAGTGTTAAATAATAAAATATACAAGGTCTTTAAATACACAACTTTACAAATATTTTCTAAAAATGTTGAAGTATATGTAAGAAAATAATTAAATTTTTGTATACTGTTAAAGTAATGAAAATTAATTTGGGATACAAACGATGACTCATCATGTACTGGAAAAAAATCGGAAAATTATCGTGTGTATTAAGGATTAAATTTTACGGTTGCAAGAAGGAAATTCGCCAACAATTAAAAACCCTATTAATTTAACAAATCTATTGTCGTACAAACACAATCAGTCTTTCATAATAATTAAGTCTTGGAGTGGCATAAAATTATTGCAACATTTTGAGATACCGCAGATTTCTTGCTATACAAAATTAGTGTTGCATTTCAAAATCGTTGCACGTCAAAATCTAGCACAAAAAATTGATTTCTCTGTAATGAAAAAGATAAAAATTTTTGAGACATCAATGGAAAAGTCAGAGAGCAATAATGTTTAGTTGTATAATATATGTTATTAATTTGTTTAATATTGATTTCCTGATATTAAAACATTAAAATATTTTAAAATATTGATAACAAATAAATTAATTAATTGCATTCGAGTCTATATGTGTATATATATATATATATATTGTATATGTTCAGCAGCTATCACATCTCGCGTGAGATGTAAATTAAAGATATATTTAGATTAAAGTAGTACGAATGTTTAATAACGAAATGAATTGCCGCCAACAATTAATAAAGTATATAACATGTCTGAATAGCAGTATAATTACGCAGTGAAGTTATTGATATACGGCTAATTGAATGCATCGGATAATTACCTACCCAAGCCTCACGAAATATTCATACCTTCATTATTCGAGCGTTAAGGCCGATTAACAGAGCACTCTAATACACATGAATGTACGTATATATCTATTCGGACATCAGCCTAATGCATTTCGTGTATTTTGTTGTATGTTTGCCTTCAAGAATGAAGGATATAGCAGAACAACAAGTTATAATAACATCAAATGAAATGATTATCATAACAAGTGTTATATGTTTGGATAACGTCGAATGTGTTAGATTTTGATATGGATACAATAAAGTAGAGTCACGAACGCGTTGTTCAAATAGTTCTCGACCTTGATGTCCTCGGTTGCAGGTGGTTCCGCGGTGAACGTGTCAAAGATGTACAGCGCCGTATCGGATGGTGAGCTGCTGGATCTGACAATTCTGCCGATCTTTCAGAAGCTCCTCACCGAGCGGCACAAGAGCACTGCCAGACGGGGCTATCGCTCGAATATAGCTAGTTGCCCGAATATATCCATCAAGTGCGACATCGTCGAGTACCTCTAACGGCCAAGTCGGCGACGACCTGACGACGCTTTCTCGGTTCTCCTCACCGCGCCGGCACGCGAAATCACGTTTCTCGTCACGGACATCATCGATCGTGTAGGACGTGTTAGATCGATTATTATCTAAGTTAATTATAGTTAATCTCGCGTTTCGCGAGCGTCTTTTAGATTGTTGCGCCCCGAGCGAGCGGTCGGCGACGTTGTTCGCGATAATGCATCGTTAAATTGAAACGTACATTTCAGATGGTTTTTACCATTTCGTTGATTTATTTATAAGAATGACGATGGACTTGGAATACCGTTATACCGCGCCACCGCAGCCGGGTTAATTAATTATTCGTTCCGTCTCTCGCGTCCTCGCTCTACTGCACTCGATATATCACGGTAAAGCGTGGACGAGGACAAAAAAAGAAAATTGGATAACGTAACGCTCTAATAATAATAATAATAATAATGCTCGAATCATGTAACTCTCTCAACGAGATACGAGAAAGACAACGGTCGACGAATAAAGGTAAGACTTTTTCTATAATACACACGAGAGATATTTTCTAAAGACGACGATTATTTAAGAGTAAGAAAAGGCGAAACGGAAGAAGAAAATATAAAACAGAAAATAAAAAGAAAATAAAGAAACGAATTCGAAGTTTAACGAGGTCTATCGCGAGCTCGAAGACTCAAAGTCACCGAAAATCCCATTATCTGCTCGTCTCACTCATCGTTGTTTGGTTCTAGACCTAAACGGAGTAAATGTATGGATTGCGCGCGATATTATCGAGCACACTTAGTTACTTGAACGTCAGTCAATAGATCTTGTATCTCATTAGTGATGCAGCATGTTACGCGACATATAACAAACATTGCGATGAAGCAAACGAGAGGGAAAAACTTGGTACACATCCGTGATATAGTACATGCAGTTTTGAAAGGAACGAAGTCGGGGTGGAAGGGAGGGACGGAAGTCGTCTGTCTATGTAATCGATATAGCGTATCGTTTTCGGGGAAGTGGGAAAGAGGGTAGGTAGAACCCTAGCAGCGAACAAATATTGTTTAAATATTTCCTAGTACGACCGAAGAATATTTTTGTGACGCGACTTTGAAACATTGAACTAGTTCTAGTTAATGCGGTTAATTAATTAACGAATATATACCTTCGAGATATTTACATTTACAACACAAATTACAGGAAAACATAAAAAAAAAAATACAAAAGATATTTGTTAGCTGCGGCAGATCGAAAAGTAAATTTTAACTATTGACTGTTACAGTGATTTCCAACTTGTAAAATATTCTTCGTTCATGATTGCGAGAACTCTTTGAAGAAATGAGGATTTACAAACGTCTCTGTCGGCTAACAAATATTTTACAAAGAGAGGGAGAGAAAGCGAGAAAGAAAAAAAGAGAGAAAGAGAGAGAGAGAGAGAGAGAGAGAGAGAGAG